ACACGTGCAGCTACTACACGTGCAGCTACTACACGTGCAGCTAATACAGGTGTAGCTACTACACGTGCAGCCACAACACAGGTAGCTACTACACGTGTAGCTACTACTAGTGTACTAGTGTAGTAGCTACTACACGTGTAGCTACTACACGTGCAGCTACTACACGTGCAGCTACTACACCATCTACTACACGTGCAGCTACTACACGTGCAGCTACTACACGTGCAGCTACTACACGCGCAGTCACTACACGCGCAGTCACTACACGTGCAGTCACTACACGTTTAGCTCCTACACGTGCAGCTACTACACATTTGGCTCCTACATGTGCAGTCACTACACACGTAGCTACTCCACATGTAGCTACTTTTGCTACTTTTGGTACTCGGATAATCCATCACTCCCCGGCCGCTGCACTGCCGCTCACCCCACTCTGCACGGTTAGCTCGCTCTACCCCCACCCACCCGACCTCCTCTAAACTTTACCAAAAAGGAGGAATGCAAACTCGGCTGCATTTAAAGGGCACCAATGAAATGTTTTTTTTCGTTGTTGTATATAATCAAAGTCCAATTGACGCCGCGGGCGTGTGCCGTGCCACGATGGTTGGGGAATGAGTGGATGGTGGCGATGAGATTGGCCGATGTGCGTATTTATTCGAGACGTGTGTTTTTTGGTTTTTTTTTTACACGCAGGAGGCTTTCGCGACCAATATAATCCATTATAGAGGTTTTTTGGGGTTAGATCGCGTAAATATATAAATGTGTCGTTAAACCCGCCACCACCCGACACAGCGAACTAGTAAGGGTTGTCACGTAAACAGAACGTGGCCAATTCGTCACTAGTACAGCACTAACCGGTGTGTTGGAGAGTCAAGCCACAACATTTACTAGTGACGAATTGGCACTTTCTGTTTACGTGACAACCCTTACGAGTTGGCTGTGTCGGGTGTGGCGGGTTTAACGACACATTTATATCTAGATTTGAAGCTTTTGTGACTGCAGGGATCCATACTCTTTGGTTCTTTCGGTAAAGTCACGTAGGTAGACTTTACCGAAGGAACCAGAGAGTATGGACACATTTATATATTTACGCGATTATCTTAGTAGCAAAAGTAGCTACACGTGTAGTAGCTACATGTGTAGTAGCTACACGTGCAGTAGCTACGGCCCCCGCACTTTCAAGGGCCCCGCGCTAAATGCTTTCAAGATATCAATTCCGGTTCAGTGATTCTGCACTTGCTCTATTACTATAGTACTACACCGCCTTCAACTGTTATACACGACTGGGTGTTTAATGTTAGCGATTTGTCGTAATATCTGGCTGTATAGCAAATGAAAAAAATACAATTACTTTACTATGCAAGTTAAAAAAAACATTTGTGTTTTAATATTTACGTGGTTTTTTTAGAGCCCCTTTATGACATCATGCTACTCGCTTCATCCGGCACCGCTCACGCCACGTACATCAACCCCGCGCTGAGACGTAGAACGCGGCACCACGACCGCCCCCCCCCCTTCGGCGCAGATGGGTGGGTGGGCGAGGCCTTAATGCAGCATGGGTTGTGAAATGCGTGTTTGAGAACAAAGCCAAAGACAAAGATCCCCGCCGTATAGCCTGTAACAGACTGTTGGGGCAAGTGCTGTTAGCGAGAACCTATGAAGGCCGGCACGGCACACGAGGGGGTGGGTGGCCAGCACCACGCCCGGCCGCCTTTGTATCCCCAGTGGTGATGTTTAAACATCACACCAGGTACTCATTTGAGGCTGAGTCGACCTGGGGGAGGCCCAGAAATGGTTAAAAAAAATCGTCACGGGAGTTGGCCGTGAGCGGGGAATCGAACTCGGGTGGCTGGATTTGTAGCGCTGCGCACGAATCGCGACACTACCGCTCCCCACCCTTACTCACCCACCCACCCAACTACCCACCCAACCACCCACTCACTCACCCACTCACCCACCCACTCACTCACTCACCCACCCACCCACCCAACCACCCACCCAACCACCCACTCACTCACTCACTCACCCACTCACCCACCCACTCACTCACTCACCCACCCACCAACCCACCCAACCACCCACCCAACCACCCACTCATTCACCCACTCACCCACCCACTCACCCACCCACCCACCCACTCACTCACTCACCCACCCACCCACTCACCCACCTAACCACCCATCCACCCACTCACTCACTCACCCACCCACCCATTCACCCACTCACTCACTCACCCACTCACCCAACCACCCACTCACTCACTCACCTACCCACTCACTCAACCACTCACTCACCCACCCACCCACTCACCCACTCACCCACCCAACTACCCACCCACTCACTCACCCACCCACTCACTCACCCACCCAACCACCCACCCACTCACTCACTCACTCACCCACCCACCCACTACCGTCCCGGTGTGAGTGAATCATTTTTACGAGGTTTCGATGCAACGAGGAGGCAAGAAGGTTAGTGGTGAAGCTGCGTGGAGCTTTGAGTCTTGTCTCTACCCCAGCACTTGCCCCGACAAGTGCTCTGGATTCTCTGTTTTTTTTACCACAATTACATAGGACTACTACTCCAGTCCAAAATGTGTCGTTAAACCCGCCACCACCCGACACAGCCAATTAGTAAGGTTTGTCACGTCAAAAAATAAAGTGCCAATACGTTACTAGTACAGCACACCGGCGTGCTGGAGAGTAAATCCACCACAACATTTACAGTTTGAGTACCGCGCCGTTTCGCCAGTAATTACAACAACAACAGCCAATTTCGATTTAAAGCTTTCGTGACTGCAGGGATTCATCTTCTTGGTTCTTTCGGTAAAGTCACGTAGAATGGAAATAATAAAATAATAAAAATAAAACATAATAAAATAATTCTCACGACGTTTCGGCCACAACGCAAGCAGCCGTCCTCAGGTGAAGACCAGGTCTGTCGGAACGTCGCGAGAATTATTTTATTATGTTTATTTTTATTATTTTATTGTTTCCATTCTACGTGACTTTACCGAAAGAACCAAGAAAAACAGCAGCCAGCATCATCAGGTGACAGCCGGAGTTGTGGAGAAATCCTCCTCCTGGTTCGGTCTTAAATAGACGCGGGTGGGGGGGGGGGGGGTAATTGTGATGTCATCACGTGTGAACCAATCAGGTGCGAACGTCAGAGGGGCCTTCGCTTCTGATTCGCTCACTGCTTGTGCACGTGGCTTCTCGCCGGTTGTGCTGTGACAGCTCCTCCGTGAGCTTGCAGTTTGTACCACGTGCTGTTTGGCACGATGTCTCACCTCGAATTTAAATAAAAAAAATTCTTTTACTTTTCCAGGCAATGGCCCACTGAGCTGTGTATCTCTTTTTCAGAAGCAATTTGCCCATCGCGAATAATAATAATAATAGCAAAACGAAGCGGCTCATCATCATGCATGCATAATTTATTACAAGCCAAATACTCTAAAAACACGTTGATTCTACAATGTGGAGGGGAAAAATCGGAGGACCCGGAGAAAAATCCACGCGACCACGGGGAGAACATGCAAACTTCAAATATACAGCAGGCATTGTAAGGGTCAGGAACGAACCCAAAACCTCCTGTATACCTATCGAGGTAGTTAACATCTCGCCACTGTGAAAATATCGGACGACGTGCCAAACAACACGCCGGTACGTCCCACTACTTAATTGGGAACTGGTCAAATATCTCAGAACGGGACCATGACCCAATTGGGAGCACTGAGACTCAGTAAAGACCCTCACGGGTAAAGTTGAAAACGTTAAAGTTATTCCCTCCCGCCGGTTTCACGCGATCCGTGTCGTCTGATGGAACTCCTTCGCAGAATCCATCCAGAATTCTCGGCGCTTCGTGTTTGAGGACGGCTCGCGGAAGCGGATATCGCAGAGCCACTGCTGAGATCCCTTCAAGTGACCTCTCGTCCAACGCACATTAGGGAGGCAGCCCTCTTCCCGCTGGGCCCGCCATGACAGCAGAGCTGGAATTTGGCCGTGGGGTTTCGTCTCGCCGATGACCGAGTGACAGTCCAAAACTTGGAACGTGTCCCGAGAGGGAGGACATCCATCCGCGGAGACGAAGCGATGAAGCCGTGCGCTGCTTGGATTGTCGTATCGTAGGATCGTCAGAAATCGCGGGCAGCTTGCGGAAGCCTTCATCCAGCAGTGGATTGATCATGATTTATTCACCACCGCGATGAGGATGTGCGTGCACGTACGTTGAACTTCTTTCGCACCGTATGTAGCCAACCGTGCTAATCGGAGGTCGCGGGGGAAATGACGATGATGGTGGATAAACACGCGGCGTGAGCAAGGTTCTGAGTCAGTCGCAGAGTGAACTCTGGACCGGTTTCGACTCTCCGCGCGTCGTCAGCAGGGTACGGCCCGCTAGGCAAACGCCGCCGAGATCAATCTCGTGCGGAGCGTTGGGCGGTGGCGAGGGCCAGGCGAGTTGAACGAGTGGCGAGCGGTGAGCATCGCGTGCGTGACGAGGGTCAGGTGAGGGTCCTCGGAGCAGAGGTCGCAAACGGGTTTTGATTCCTTACCCGTACCCGGCCGCACCAGGGTCACAAACGGGTACCCGTACCCTACCCGTACCCGGCCGTGTATGGGTCGGGTACGGGTATTTGGTACCCGGATGCGACCTCTGGGATGAAGCCATGTTGCAGGCGCGGGTGGGTTGATTCTAGGAACTTGAATTGTGAGAAGAGACAAGACGTTGAGAAATGAGTGACAAACGGTGACTCACCAGTGACTCACGGCATACCCGTACCCGGCCGCACCAGGGTCGCAAACGGGTACCCGTACCCGTTCCCGGCCGGGTACGGGTAGCCGGGTATCGGGTAGGGTACGGGTAGCCGGGTACCCGGTTGCGACCTCTGCCTCGGAGCGACGTGTCACCTCGTACCCAGGACGGGCTGCCCACCGGTTGTTCATGCTCTCGCCGCGTCTCTCCGCGTCTCCCTCTGCGTCTCCGCCGATGCTGCGCTGCAGGTGGAGCTTGGGAGCGTGAATCGCGACGAGGAGCAGGAGGAGGAGGAGAAAAAGAGGAAGCGCAAGGGCAGCCTCTCCACGCAGGAGGCCAGCGGGCTGGACGTGCCCGAGGTGACGCGGGCGCTAAAGGTGACGGACGCACTCGCTCGACGCTCTTTCCCACGCACGCACCGGGGGACAGGAGGGCGCGGGTGCATTTTTTTCGCCGCCGGTGTTTTTTGCCGAGCCGATTCGGAACCGAGCCGGAACCGAGCTGGAACTGAACCAAAATCGAGCCGGAACCGAGCTGGAACCGATTCGGAACCGAGCTGGAACCGATGCCGGCATCACACGACGATGTCGTCTGAATCTGGCTCGGGGCCAAGTAGGGCCAGGGAGCGGGACCAGTACGGAATGCAAAAACACCGCGTTCCTCCCGACGTCACGTGTTGCAACGTGACGCCGTGGTGAGTCGGCATCGCCGCGTCACCAGCGCGGCTCGGTTTTTGGGCGGTGGAAAAAGCAAACCGATGGCGCCTCCGCCCGTCGCACCTCCGATCCGCGCGGTTGGCTACGCACGACGCGCGAACGAAGTTCAACATCCACGCATTACATACCTGATGACGGATTGGGGGGGCACTTAGTCCGTCGGCGGGATGCAACACGGCCGACGAATGCCTTGCGTGCCGCAGACGGACATCGACGCGGGTCTGGACGCCGGCGAGGTCCTGCTTCGACGGGAGGTGCACGGGGCCAACGAGTTCGAGCTGGGAGAGCATGAGCCCGTGTGGAAGAAGTACCTGTCCCAGGTGAGTCCTCCAAAGATAAAGGTCCCCCTCACCCACACTCCGTATAGCTTGTAACAGGCTGTCGGGGCAAGTGCTGTTAGCAGCGCCTATGAAGGTCGGCACGGCACACGAGGGGGTGGGTGGCCAGCATCCAGGCCCGGCCGCCTTTGTCTCCCCCAGTGGCGATATTTTACACGTCGCACGGGGTACTCATTCGAGGCTGAGTCGACCTAGGGGAGGTTCAGGGCCGGTTCAGATAATCGTCACACGGGCGTTGGCCGTGAGCGGGAATCGATCTCGGGTCGCCGGGTTCGTAGCGCAGCGCGCTAACCGTTGGACTACCGCTCCCCACAACCACCACCAACAACCACAACAACCGCCATTCGCCACTAAGTGCCGGTGACGTAACCACGGCGCTTGTGCCAGGCTATGTGCACGTTTAAGGTCGAACGCCCGCTGGCAAGACAGACCCAGGTGCTATGGGTTGACTGAGTGAGATGACTGGGCGATGCACCACCTGTGCCCCCTGCCGTGCAAACTCGCTGCGTCTTAGCCGCCCGCCGCTCCGCTCGTTGTCGTGAGCGTCGCTCCTCCGCCCTCCGCTGTTGCTGGAGGGCGACTGCCTCCCAACTGCCCAGTAGCAGCGTCCTTCACCACCAACAGCACCACTCAACACCGCCATCACCACCAACTACTAAAACAACACTCCCAAAGCCACCAACGACAACTGTAACAACACCACCAACAGCATCACCACCAACAACAACATCACCACCAACAGCATCACCACCAACATCATCACCACCACCACCAACATCACCACCACCACCAACAACAACATCACCACCAACAACAACATCACCACCACCAACATCACTACCACCAACAACATCACCACCAACAACAACATCACCACCACCAACAACAACACCACCACCACCAACAACAACATCACCACCAACAACAACATCACCACCAACATCACCACCAACATCACCACCACCACCACCAACAACAACATCACCAACAACAACAACACCACCACCAACATCACCACCACCACCACCAACAACAACATCACCACCACCAACATCACCACCAACAACATCACCACCAACATCACCACCACCACCAACATCACCACCAACAACAACATCACCACCACCACCAACATCACCACCACCACCACCAACATACACCATCCCACCACCAACATCACCACCAACACAACATCACCACCACCAACATCACCACCACACCAACCATCACCACCAACAACAACATCACCACCCACCACCAACATCACCACCAACAACAACATCACCACCACCACCAACATCACCACCAACAACAACATCACCACCACCACCAACATCACCACCACAACAACATCACCACCAACACACATCCACCACCACCAACATCACCACCAACAACAACATCACCACCACCACCAACATCACCACCAACAACAACATCACCACCACACCAACATCACCACCAACAACAACATCACCACCACCCACCAACATCACCACCAACACAACATCACCACCACCACCAACATCACCACCAACAACAACATCACCACCACCACCAACATCACCACCAACAACAACATCACCACCACCACCAACATCACCACCAACAACAACATCACCACCACCACCAACATCACCACCAACAACAACATCACCACCACCACCAACATCACCACCAACAACAACATCACCACCACCACCAACATCACCACCAACAACAACATCACCACCACCACCAACATCACCACCAACAACAACATCACCACCACCACCAACATCACCACCAACAACAACATCACCACCACCACCAACATCACCACCAACAACAACATCACCACCACCACCAACATCACCACCAACAACAACATCACCACCACCACCAACATCACCACCAACAACAACATCACCACCACCACCAACATCACCACCAACAACAACATCACCACCACCACCAACATCACCACCAACAACAACATCACCACCACCACATCACCACAACAACATCACCACCAACAACAACATCACCACCACCACCAACATCACCACCACCAACAACATCACCAACAACAACATCACCACCACCAACATCACCACCACCACCACCACCAACAACATCACCACCACCACCAACATCACCACCAACAACATCACCACCAACATCACCACCAACATCACCACCACCACCAGCATCACCACCAACAACATCGCCACCACCAACAACATCACCACCACCAACAACACCACCAACAACAACATCACCACCACCAACAGCCCCGTCCAACAACCTACAGCACCCGCGGTAAGCGGTCACTGCCCGGGCTTGACTTGACCCTCGGCAGCTGTAAGGGACGGGCTGTGAGGCTGAAGGTCACGGACGTTCCAACGTTGCCCCCGTTGCCCTCCTGCAGTTCAAGAACCCCATGATTCTGCTGCTGCTGGCGTCCGCCGCCGTGAGCGTCATCACGAAGCAAGTGGATGACGCCATCAGCATCACCCTGGTGAGTCCATGGGTCTCTGTGTGAGTCTGTAGGTCCGTGTGAGTCCACGGGTGTCTGCGTGAGTCTGTAGGTCCGTGTGAGTCCACGGGTCTCTGTGCGAGTCTACAGTCTGTGTGAGTCCATGGGTCTCTGTGCGAGTCGAAATGTCCGTGTCAGTCCACGGGGTCTCTGTGCGAGTCTGTAGGTCCGTGTGAGTCCACGGGTCTCTGTGCGAGTCTGTACGTCCGTGTGAGTCCATGGGTGTCTGTGTGAGTCGAAATGTCCGTGTCAGTCCATGAGTCTCTGTGCGAGTCTGTAGGTCCATGTGAGTCCATGGGTCTCTGTGTGAGTCTGTAGGTCCGTGTGAGTCCACGGGTGTCTGCGTGAGTCTGTAGGTCCGTGTGAGTCCACGGGTGTCTGCGTGAGTCTGTACGTCCGTGTGAGTCCATGGGTCTCTGTGCGAGTCTGTTGGTCCGTGTGAGTCCATGGGTGTCTGCGTGAGTCTGTAGGTCCGTGTGAGTCCACGGGTCTCTGTGCGAGTCTGTAGGTCCGTGTGAGTTCATGGGTCTCTGTGTGAGTTGAAATGTCCGTTTCAGTCCATGGGTCTCTGTGCGGGTCTACGTCTGTGTGAGTCCATGGGTTTCTGTGCGAGTCTGTAGGTCCGTGTGAGTCCATGTGTCCCTGTGCGAGTCTGTAGGTCCGTGTGAGTTCATGGGTCTCTGTGCAAGTCTGTATGTCCGTATGAGTCCATGGGTCTCTGCGTGAGTCTGTATGTCCGTGTGAGTCCACGGGTCTCTGCGTGAGTCTGTACCGCACGGGTAACGCACCAGCGGTGATCAACCGCACAGCTGCTGGGCCTTCCCTAGGTCAACGTCAACCTTGCACGAGCACGTGGTGCGCTGTGTAAATATCAGAACCCCGGGGCAAGACGTAGGTGCTGTTGGGCTAGTGCTGACCGCCTCCGATTCGCACGGTCGGCTACGTACGGCGCGAAAGAAGTTCAACGTACACACGATCAACACTGGTCCGCCTTAATAGGCGCTCGCTAATAGCACTTTCTCTCTCTTTCCCACGGTCTTTGCGGCTACACAAAGGGTGTTTGTTGTTGTCCGTGTGTGTGTGTGTGCGATTTGCAGGCCATTGTCATCGTGGTGACGGTGGCCTTTGTACAGGTGAGTCTTTACCGCCCACACTTTGCACGCCAGCTGTGCACCGACTTGGGACGCACACACCCAGAGCAACGCAGTGCGTCGGGGAGACGTTTTTCGCATTACCCCGAGGCTAAAACTCAAAACTGTGTATTGTGTACTGTTTGGGTCTTTCGGTAAAGTCGCGAAGATATAACAAGTATATTCCCGTAAAATCAAAGTTTTTCACTATAAATCCTTTATATGCGTGGCGGCTAGAGTCCTCTCGTCCTCTGGCTTGAGATGGCTGCCACCTATGGGTCAGATGATTGTCTGGCAGCATTAAACAATTGGTAATTAAATATTTAAAAAAATGTCCCTAAACAGTGTAAAATTTTTGAATTTTTTTTCACGAAAATGCATTGTCACGCACAACGAGTCTGTGTGCAAAATGTCAGCTCGATTGGATCACGGGAAGTGGGTTAAAAAACGACCGAAAGATTTGCACGGTCCTAAGCAAGCAAGCGAACTTAATATAAAGGATTTTTAAAAAATATATCACGACGTTTCGATTGCTAACACAAGCAATCGTCCTCAGGTGAAGAAAATATATTTTTTGCGTCAGTCTGTACGTCTGTATATTTTTTCACCTGAGGACTTGTGCAAAGTAGAAAACATATATATATAAGTGCAATTGTAGACTGACATTTTGAAATCTCGATTGAAAGCTAATTTCTTCAGGACTGCTGTTTGCGTTTCGATTTAAGGCTTTCGTGACTGCAGGGATTAATCTTCTTGGTTCTTTCGGTAAAGTCACGTAGAAGGGAAATAATAAAATAATAAAAATTAAACAGCGTCTGAAGACGCTGTCTTTCCGACAGACCTGTTCTTCACCTGAGGACGTGAGAATTATTTTATTATGTTAAATTTATTTTATTATTTCCCTTCTACGTGACTTTACCGAAAGAACCAAGAAGATGCTGTTTGCGTGTTTAGTTTGTTGTCCTTCCCCCGCACCTCCGATGTAGCACGGTTGGCTACGTACGGTGCAAAAGAAGTTGAACAACACACGTGCACAACATGTGTCCGCGGTCTTTTAATCGAATCTTTTAATCGAATCGAAAACGAAGTAAGAGCGTCGAGACGCGTGAAACATCGCCGCCCCCATTTGTGAGCGCGACCTGAGTTAGCATCAAGTCGCTTTCTTCAGCTACAACAGTTTTAGTAATAATACTGGTAGGAACATCCTGGTTACACCAGCCCACAGGGGATTATTGTGTCCGTCCGTCCGTCGTGCATCCGAAAATGGGAGGGGTGGGGCTGGGTGGAGAGGGGAGGGTGGGGAGGGGAGGATGGGGAGGGGCTGGGTGGGAAGGGCTGGATGGGGAGGGGAGGGAGGGGCTGGGTGGGGAGGGTGAGGGAGGGGCTGGGTGGGGAGGGTGGGAGGGGCTGGGTGGGGAGGGTGAGGAGGGGCTGGGTGGGGAGGGGCTGGTCACCCCGTGGTGCCCTTATAAAACTCAACGTTTAACCTACTCACGCCGGCTTGTGCCCGCCCTCACAGTCGGGCATATTTGCGGAATACACCACGCCGCCGTTGACCCTGGCCATTGACCGAGCAACCCAACGTTCCTACCAGCTCCCTCCGCAGGACAATGTGTTAATAACAACGATAGCAATGATCTGCGGCCCATAGAGCCGCTCTGCTCCACGCCGCTGTGAGTCTCGTCGTGCTGTGCGCGCGACGAGGGACTGGCATCCCAACCCAGACGCATTCGCAAGGGCACCCCCGGTGGCAGCTGTCGCTGTGCGGCACCAGGTGACTCGGCACCGGGTCTGGGAGCGGGCGTTACTTTTGTCGGGAGGGGGCGATGGTTGCTTCCAAGGTGGCTTGTCTAGGGGACCCCCCAGTGGCATCTGTCCCTGTGCAGCAGCACAATGTTACTCGTGGCACATTGCTTGCAGGTTAATCATTAGGCTTGCCAGTAGAAAGGCGGGGGGGGGGGGAGGTGGTTACGCATACATAACTCCCTGCCGATGTTTCAACACTGAATGCAAACATTTACCTAATCTGCGGCGGCGATCTGCATGCGTTGTACGTGGCGTTGATCGAGGATTCTTTTTTCTGTTTGAACCCGACAGGAGTATCGCTCAGAAAAATCTCTGGAAGAACTCAACAAACTGGTTCCCCCGGAATGCAACTGGTGAGGAGTGGTTTGCGGGGGGGGGGGTGGGGGGGGGAACTGGGGTTGGGCAAAGTTCGCATGACCAGTTTGTACGACACGCAGAGTCATTGCACACACAACAACAACAACACCCGACATTCGCCACTAAGTGGCGGCGACGTCACCACGGCGCCTGTGCCAGGCTACGTGCGCGTTGAGGCCACGTGCAGTGTGGAACGCCCGCTGGCACGAGGTCAAGGGGCGGTACCCAGGTGGTGCCACGGCTCGAATGAGCGAGATGACGGGCCTGATGCACCACCTGTGCCCCCCTGCTGCGCCAACTCGCTGCGTTTGATCCGCCCGGGGCTCCGAGCGTCGCTCCTCTGCCCTCGGTTGTAGCCGGAGGCGCGGGGAACTGCCTCCAACTGCGCAGCAGCAGCAGCGTCCTTCACGAGCCTACTCCACACGCGCACGCGTGCGTGTGTGTGTGCACGTGTGCGTGCGTGTGTGCGTGTGCGCCGAGATGACCGAGTCATCTCGGTCATCTCGGCACACATCTCGGTCATCTCGGTCAGTCGACCCGTGGCAACTTGGTTTGCCCCGTGACCTCCTGCCAGCGGGCGTTCGACACTTCGCGTGGCCTCAAGGTGCACATGGCCTGGCACAAGCGTCGTGGTGACGTCACCGCCACTAAGTGACGAATGGCGGTTGTTGTTGTGTGTGCGTGCGCACGTGCACGCAGCCACACTTGGTCATAGTCAGGAATGGAATTTCAGGTCTCCAGGTTCGCTGAACAGTGCCCACACCACTGCGCCACCACTCACCACGCACGCGCGCGTGAACGCGCGTGAACGCACGAAGACAAAGATCCCCCGTGTAGCCGAAACAGACTGTTGGGGCAAGTTCTGTTAGCGAGCACCTATGAAGGCCGTCAACGGCACACGAGGAGGGGGGGGGGTGGGTGGCCAGCACCACTCCCGGCCGCCTTTGTCTTCCTAGTGGCGATGTTTACTTCACACCACGCCGGGTAGTCATTTGAGGCTGAGTCGACCTAAGGGAGGCCCGGGACCGGTTCAGATAATCGTCACCGGTGTTGGCCGTGAGCGGGAATTGAACTCGGGTCGCCGGGTTCGTAGTGCAGCGCGCTGACTCCCGCTCCCCATAAATGCACGCAAACATGAACACCTGAACACCTGGACATCTGAGACGGCACACAGAGACAATGATGCCCCTTACGTGTGTCTGCAAGTCTGTGCGTGTTTCTGCATGTCTCTCTGTTTGTCTGCAAGTCTGTGTGTGTTTCTGAATGTCTTCTAATCTGCTTGCATTTCTGTGTCTGTATGTGTCTGCATGTCTGTCTGTGTATATGTCTGAATGGCTGTGTGTGTGTCTGCAAGTCTGTGTGTGTTTCTGCATGTCTATCTGTTTGTATGTATGTATGTCTATCCGTGTGTGCGTCTGCATGTATATCTGTCTGTCTGCATCTCTGTCTGTCTGTGCATGTCTGCATGTCTGTGTGTGTATGCATGTCAATCTGTGTGCGTCTGCATGTCTATCCGTGTGTGTGCATGTCTATCCGTGTGTGTCTGCATGTCTGTGTGTGTGTCTGCATGTCTGTGTGTGTGTCTGCCTGTCTGTATGTCTATCCGTGTGTGTCTGTATGTATATCTCTCTGTCGGCATGTCTATATGTCTGTATGTCTGCATGTCTCTATGTGTCTATGCATGTCACTCCGTGTGTGTGTCTGCATGTCTATCCGTGTGCATCTGCATGTCTGTCTGTCTGTCTGCATGTCTATATGTCTGCATGTCTCTACGTGTCTATGCAAGTCACTCCGTGTGTGTGTCTGCATGTCTATCCGTGCGTGAGCATGTCTAACCTGTCTGTCTGCATGTCTGTCTGTATGTCTATCCGTGTGTGTCTGCATGTCTGTCTGTCTGCATGTCTATATGTCTGCATGTCTCTACGTGTCTATGCATGTCACTCCGTGTGTGTGTCTGCATGTCTATCCGTGCGTGAGCATGTCTAACCTGTCTGTCTGCGTGCCCTCGTGCGTCTGCGTTCCCAGTGTCCGAGGGGGAGCGACAGAGCGTCTCCTGGCGAGGGAGCTCGTCCCGGGGGACCTCGTGTGCCTCGCGCTCGGAGACCGAGTGCCGGCCGACCTGAGACTCACCGAGGTGTCACCGCGAGCTTACACACGCCGGGACATTATGATCCACATCGCTGTTGTTGTTGTGTGTGTGTGTGAGCGAGTATGGGGTGAGCTCGTGGGGAGCGGTAGTGCAGCGGTTAGCGCTACGCTGCGCTACGAACCCGGCAGCCCGAGTTCGATTCCCGCTCACAGCCAACGGAGGGCGGAGGAGCGACGCTCACAGCAACGAGCGGAGCGCCGGGTGGCTAAAGCATAGCAGATTGGCACAGTAGGGGGCACAGGTGGTGCATCAGACAGTCATCTCTGTCAGTCGACCCGTGCGTGGCACCTGGGTCTGCCCCGTGACCTCCTGCCAGCGGGCATTCGACACTTCACGTGGCCTCAACGTGCACATGGCCTGGCACAAGCGTCGTGGTGACATCACCGCCACTTAGTGGCGAATGGCGGTTGTTGTTGTGTGTGTGTATGTGGGGGAGCGGTTGCACAGCGGTTTAGCGCGCAGCGCTATGAATCCGGCGACCCGGGTTCAATTCCCGCCCATGGCCACCAACACCAGTGACGATGATCTGAACCGGTCCTGTGCCTCCCCTAGATCGGCTCGGCCTCAAATAAGTACCTGGGTGCGGTGTGTAAAAAACATCGCCACCCGGGAGACGAAGGCGGCTGGGTGGGCATGGTCGCTGGCCACCCACACCACTCGCATGCCACAGTGGCGGCCTTCATAGGCTGCACTGCTACTCGCTACCAGCACTTGCCACAACAGTCTGTTAACGCTACACTGTGGGCCTCTTTGCGCCAGGCTGTGGAGCTCACGCTGGATGAGTCGAGCTTCACGGGCGAGACCCAGCCGAACGCCAAGACGGTGGACGCGGCTCACCCCGGCCTCGACGGCAGCTGCGGTGGCGGTGGCAGCAGCAGCAGCCCCGTCAACATCGTGTTCATGGGGACCCTGGTGCGGAGCGGTCGCGGCAAGGTGAGCGGTGGGGTTTCGGGGTTTTTGCTCCGAGGAACAGCGGAGTAACGAGCGTGGGGGGCAGGCAGGGGGTGCCTTGTCCCCACTGCGTGCCCCCCCCCCCAGTGGCCAAATCTGTGAGATTGGGGGGGGGGGCCCCCTTGACAACCACCATCATGAAATGTTTGTTCCACATTGTGCAGGATCGAAAAACGTATTTAAAACGCGGTTAACATTTTTTTTTATGAAAATACTTTCATTTTCGTTCCCCTTTCTATTTTTATTCAATCAGAACAGGAATGTAATATTTCAAAAGAGGTAACTACTACGGAGCTGTAGTGGGCTGCATTTTGTGAAGACAGAGCGCCACGGACAGCGTTAAATGTACGAGACCGTGAGCGTAATGACGACGCAAGATGACGCCAAAAGGCGCACAACTCATCTGGTCCAACACCATGTGAGACTAGGCTCCAAGAAAAGCTGTCTCGGGTGTGGACCAATCAATTTCAAGGACAGTGCATACATTATCAGAGTTGTGTTTTTTGTTTGCCTTCCGACCGCAGGTATTGTGGTCTATGCAACATGACTCCTTGTAAAAAAAGGTGTCAGTTTTGTTGCCAGATAAAAGGGTAAAAAAACAATTATCAATGACGGAGATAATGCAGGCCACCGACGACGGTGGTGCTGATGGTGACGATGACGATGGTGAGGTCTCACGGCACTGTGTTGTGACGTCATGGTGCAGGGCATCGTCGTCAACACCGGCGAGAACTCCCAGTTCGGCGAGGTCTTCCGCATGATGCAGAAGGAGGAGGTGAGAAAACGCTGCCGCTGCTGCTGTACTTGCCTCTATAGCTGCTGTTACTGCAGCTGCTGCTGTGCTTGCCTCTATAGCTGCTGCTGTAGCTGCTGTAGTTGCTGTTGTAGCTATTCCTGTTGCTGCCTTTGTAGCTGTTGCAGCAGCTGCTGCTGTAGCTGCTGCTGTAGCTGCTGCTGTAGCTGCTGCTGTGGCAGCTGCTGCCTCTGTAGCTGCTGCCGCTGCTGTTGCTACCCTGTAGCTGCTGCGTTAGCTTCTGCTGCTGTTGCTGCTCCTGTAGGTGCTGCTTTATCTGCTGTAGCTGCTGCTGCTGCCGTATCTGCCGCTGGCTATTCACTCGCTTGCCAGAGGTCGCAGATCCCAGGTTAGGGGCTGCGATTGGAGCGAACGCCTCCCCCACCTCCCTCTCTCCCATTCTTAAAGCGCAGTGAGATGACCGTGACCGCCAGTGACTGCAAGGACAAATCAAACCCCGTCGCCATGAGTGCATTGGGTTCCGCACTCAAATTCGTGTCCATTCCAAATCAAACGATTCGTCTTTTGGGCAGCTTCGTCGTTCGTGTACAATTGCGTCGCACGGTCGCCGTGGACCACATAGGACCAAGCTGGATGGTTTTGCACCAACAATTGCTCTGCAGTTCTGCACATATTAAGATGTTCCCCAGCCAATTTGCGAGCGTTTGTGCATGTGGGGGCGGAGGGAGGGGGGTAACCTGTAACCGGAGCACCCGAATTACAACCCAACATGTGCGAGGGGGCAACGCTCTATCCCACACAGAAGGGGACACGATGATATTAGGAAAAATAAGAATAGTTTTTTTTTACCCTTTCTGGCAATTAAACAGGAGGTGTTAAGATGTTCAAACACCAAATAGAAACCTTTTGCAAGGAATCAAGTTACTGCATTAACCACACAAAGTACTTGTTTCAGTTTGAACATCTTAATCTTAATGCCTGTTTTATTGCCAGGAAGTTTAAAACCTCTTCTTACTTTTCATCCACTTTGCCTCACTGCCTTCCGCTGAAAAGGCCCAGGGCATGGCACCATATTTGTATGAAATAACCAACCCGAGCCTCCACAGTTCATGGGTTAGAGTGCTGGATCAGGTTGACCGTCGCGCAATGAACCCTCGGCTCGAGCGGAGAAGAAAGCGCTGCCCCTCTGCGGACCAGAGGTCACCGCCTGAAGATATCTCCGGGAGGTAGTTCTGCAATGTCTACTTTCCGTGGGCCGTCCTCTAAACACGGGACGTCGTTGCACTGCTCGCGTGAGACTTCTGCGTGGGCAGTTCTTCTGGTGACGCGACGCCGACAGCACAATCGGGATTTTAGAAAAGTAAAAAAAAATGTTGCGTGCGACAGATGGCTGACTCTACACTTGTTGACATTTGCAGGCGCCAAAGACTCCCCTGCAGAAAAACATGGATCACTTGAGCAAGCAGCTGTCCCTGTACTCCTTCGGGATCATCGGTGAGTCATCGATGGAATTGTACGCGAGGCAGTCGGCTTCATCGACGGCCCAGCAATCGCTCTTTTCACTCCAGTCACTCGCTCGCTCGCTGGCGGTCAGTCGCATCGTGATCACTCTTCTCTTGCTGCTACCATGGCGATACTCTGCACGTGAACTTCACTCGTCGATTCCTCCGCCCATGTTGGGGGACTCGGTCGATATCAGACTGACTGTTTGGTGTCATCCACCACGCTGTGTGTAACCACCACCACCACACATTCTCGAAGAGATGATTCTGACTGGCTGGTGTGGTGTCTGGGTGAACGTCCATGTATTGCTCGGGAGAGACCATGTTCTGGAAGGTGTTTCCGAACAAACCAGATGAAAAGACACCTTCTGGAAGACACGCACACTCTGTATTGTAACATGCACAGCTGATACTGGATGTGGTGTTCCGTGTGAGAGATATTACACTGGTCAACACACTTTTTCTGGCATAAGGTATTCCAACGGTTTTAAGGTAATTTTGGGGTGCTGATTCCAAATTTGGCATCAGTTTTTGTCTATCACACCAGGTTTTTGAGATATCAAATATTGCATTTTCAATAAAAACTGCAGAAGAAAAATATTAAATAAATGTGGATATCTACATAAAATGATATTATAAACACACTATCCTAAAAATACAGCGCCATATTTTAACACTAAAGCAGTCACTGACTCGCAACAACTTGCAATCATAAGTGACAGAGTTAATTTCGGGTAAAATCAATGAAAATGGGGTATGCCGATAGCATAATAAGTATAACCAGTAAAAACAAAGTTTTTCACTATAAATCCTTTATATGCGTGGCGGCTAGAGTCCTCTCGTCCTCTGGCTTGAGATGGCTGCCACCTATGGGTCAGATGATTGTCTGCCAGTATTAAGCAATTGGTAATTAAATATTTAATTTGTTTTCCCTAAACAGTGTAAAATTTTGGAAATTTTTTTCACGAATATTAATTGTCTCGCACAACGAGTCTGTGTGCAAAATGTCAGCTCGATTGGATCACGGGAAGTGGGTTAAAAAACGACCGAAAGATTTGCACGGTCGTAAGCAAGCAAGCAAGCACACAAGCACGCAAGCAAGCAAGCAAGCGAACTTAATATAAAGGATTTAAAAATGAGATGTGATAGAGCAAATCTGAGATCAGATTTGGAATCAGCACCCTGAAATTAGTCTAAAACAGCTGCAAAAGTCCAGGCCAGAAAAAAATGTTTTTTTGTTGACCAGTGAATTATCCGTGTCACTGGTAGAATGGAGTATGTAGCACGTGATTGCGAGCCATAGTCGTATCTAAAGGTATACTGGACGTGATGTGCCGGGCGTGGGAATATTTTACCGATAAATCACACTGTTAAATTTCGATTTAAAGCTTTCGTGACTGCAGGGATTCATCTTCTTGGTTCTTTCGGTAAAGTCACGTAGAATGGAAATAATACAATAATAAGGCGCTATTCCCCCTCCAACCCAGCTTAAATAGACGCTCCAAGCCTGGGGTGTTTCATTCAGACTCTGTCTTCTCGACAGACCTGTTCTTCACCTGAAGACGGCTGCTTGCGTTGTGGCCGAAACGTCGTGAGAATTGTATTTTATTATGTTATATTTTTATTATTTTATTACTTCCATTCTACGCGACTTTACCCAAAGAACCAAGAAGAAATCACACTGTGTGTGTGTGCGTGCGCGTGTGTGTGATCGTGCTCCCCAGGGCTGATTGCACTGGCCGGATGGCTCCAGGGGAAGTCTCTGCTCAATATGTTCACCATCGGCGTGAGGTGCGTATGTAATAAAGGTCGTGGAAGCGACTTCTGGAATCCGGTCTTTATTTGTCTTTCGTTCACAACACTCCCATCTTACTCCTTCACGCTGCTGACAGACAGCGTGAGAGAGAGAGAGAGACACGCGCGGCCACGTGGCAGCCTGGACCCCGCTCCAACATGGCCTCACCCTCCGTTCGTTCCAGATCTGACCACGTGTTGTTCGTCTCCACCCCTTTTAATACCCGGGTCGCGTGGTACCTTTCCACCAATCCTGGTTAGCCTCTATGGAATCTTCTCGACTCCATCGTACGCTCCCAGCACCACGCCCCTGACTCGTCCCCCCATTGGCTGTGGCTAAAGCCAGCAGAACCAATCCTCTACTTACAGATGTCACCTTCCCATTACGTTAGAGCCACGCCTCTAGACTTCACCCCATTGGCTATGGGCCAGGACCGGCAGAGCCAATCATCGTAACGAGGTGTGATACATCAGCGACCCGGATATATCCTCACATTACACATACACACATTATCGGGAAGCCACTGGAGCTATGCACTTTTAAAACTAGATTGAAAAACTCTTTTGTTTTTTTTGGAATTGCTTTTGTTGTTTAGTTTGTTGGCCCTTCCCCTGCACCTCCGATTAGCACGGTTGGTCACGTACGGTGCAAAAGAAGTTCAACATACCTCCAAAATAAACCTAAAAGAGACGAAGATCCCCCGTATAGTCTTGGTTCTTTCGGTAAAGTCACATAGAAGGGAAATAATAAACTAATAAAAATATAAAACAATAAAAATTCTCACGAAGTTTCGACGGCAACACAAGCAATCGTCGTCAGGTGGGAAATCCACAGCAAGAAAATTTTCTTTGTGTTGCAGTCGAAACGTCGTGAGAATTTTTATTGTTTCATATTTATATTATTTTATTATTTCCCTTCTACGTGACTTTACCGAAAGAACCAAGAATATGAATCCCTGCAGTCACGAAAACTTTAAATCAAGATTCCCCGTATAGTCTTAACAGACTGTTGGGGCAAGTGCTGTTAGCGAGCCCCTATGAATGCCAGCATGGTACACGAGGGAGTGGGTGGCCAGCACCATGCCCGACCGCCTTTGTCTCGCCAGTGGCGATGTTTACACACCGCAGCAGGCACTCATTTGAGGCTGAGTCGACCTAGGGGAAGCCCAGTACTGATTCAGGTTATTGTTACTGGCGGTGGCCGTGAGCGGGAATCGAACTCGGCTCGCACTAATTTTTAGTGCCGCAAGCTAACCACTACACTACCGCTCCCCACTAGCATAAAGACACATACACACGCACATCCGTGGGTGCACACAAACTCATACATATACCTAATTGTTGTCCTGTACAGCACTTAGATTTTTTCTTAATTTGTGGAGTGTTGAAAATTTCCCGTGTACAGCGCTTTGTGATCTTTTCATTGAGAGGTGCTGTGTAGACATAAATATGAATGATCATTATTACTGACGACTTGTCTCTCTGACCAGGGTATCTGTCTCACTGATCCCTGACGCCTGTGTCTCCATGTCCCCTGTATCTCCCTGACTCCTCACGCCCCGCGTATGCCTGACCCTGACCTCCATGTCTCCCTGACCCCTGTGACCTCCTGACCTTTGGGTATTCCTGACCCATGACCCCCATTTCCTCCTGACCCCTGTGTCTCCCTGACCTGTGACCCCTAGCCTGGCTGTAGCAGCCACCCCCGTGTCCTCCTGACCCCTGACCCCCGTGTCCTCCTGACCCCTGACCCCCATTTCCTCCTGACCCCTGTGTCTCCCTGACCTGTGACCCCTAGCCTGGCGGTGACAGCCACCCCTGGTTCCTCCTGACCCCTGACCCCCGTGTCCTCCTGACCCCTGACCCACGTTTCCTCCTGACCCCTGTGTCTCCCTGACCTGTGACCCCTAGCCTGGCGGTGGCAGCCACCCCCGTGTCCTCCTGACCCCTGACCCACGTTTCCTCCTGACCCCTGTGTCTCCCTAACCTGTGACCCCTAGCCTGGCGGTGGCAGCCACCCCCATGTCCTCCTGACCCCTGACCCACGTTTCCTCCTGACCCCTGTGTCTCCCTGACCTGTGACCTCTAGCCTGGCGGTGGCAGCCATCCCTGAGGGGCTACCCATCGTGGTGACGGTGACGCTGGCGCTGGGCGTGATGAGGATGGCCGCCAAGAACGCGGTGGTGAGGAGACTGCCCACGGTGGAGACGCTTGGTGAGGTCGCCCGCTCATCAGAGACTCACCCGCTCAGAGGCTCACCCGCTCAAAGACTCACCCACTCAGAGACTCACTCACTCAGAGACTCACCCACTCAGAAGCTCACCCACTCGTAGACTCACCCACTCATCGGAGACTCACACGCTCAGAGACTCACCCACTCGTAGACTCATCCACTCAAAGACTCATCCACTCAGAGCGTCACCCACTAATCAGACTCACCCACTCGTAGACTCACCCACTCATCGGAGACTCACCCACTCAGAGACTCACCCACTCGTAGACTCACCCACTCAGAGACTCACCCACTCAGAGACTCACCCACTCGTAGACTCACCCACTCAGAGGCTCACCCACTCAGAGGCTCATCCACTCAGAGACTCACCCACTCAGAGACTCACCCACTCAGAGACTCACCCACTCAGAGACTCACTCACTCAGAGGCGCATCCACTCAGAGCCTTACTCACTAATCAAACTCATCCACTCAGAGCCTTACTCACTAATCAGACTCACCAACTCAGAGCCTCACCCATTAATCAGGCTCACCCACTCAGAGACTCATCCACTCAGAGACTCATCCACTCAGAGCCTCACCCACTAATCAGACTCACCCACTCATCGGAGACTCACCCGCTCAGAGACTCACCCACTCAGAGACTCACCCACTCAGAGACTCACCCACTCAGAGACTCACCAACTCATCCGACACTCACCCACTCGGAGACTCACCCACTCGGAGACTCACCCACTCAGAGACTCACCCACTCAGAGACTGACTCAACCACTCAGAGACTCACCCGCTCATCGGACACTCGCCCACCCCGACGGGGCAGCGTCTTGTTGTTGTGGCACCGACGCCCGAGCTGGCGGCTGACTGTTTGCCCTTTGCCCTTTCACCTCTCAGGTTGCTGTGATGTCATCTGCTCCGACAAAACCGGAACGCTCACGTCGAACGAGATGACCGTCACCCGAGTGTTCACGTCAGAGGGGCTGCTGGCTGAGGTATCCACATCATCGCCACCGCCGCCACCGCCATCATCACCGTTATCATCGTCGCCATCATAATCATCATCGGCAACATCATCATCAGCAGCATCGGCACCATTACTGTTGTCAAGGTTATGGCGACTGTCATCATTGTCATTGTTTGTCGTAGCATTATCATCGTCGTCATCGTCGTCATCATCATCATCTTTATCATCAGCATTAGAAGCAGCAGCATCATCAGCGCCACTATCATCATCAACACCACTATCAGCATCATCACCATTATATTCATCATCATCATCTTTATCATCAGCATTAGAAGCAGCAGCAGCATCAGCACCAACTATCATCATCATCAACACCACTATCATCATCACCATTATATTCATCATCATCTTTATTATCAGCATTAGAACCAGCAGAATCATCAGCGCCAACTATCATCATCATCATCAACACCACTATCATCATCATCATCACCATTATATTCATCATCATCTTTACCATCAGCATTAGAACCAGCAGAATCATCAGCGCCAACTATCATCATCATCAGCACTACCGAGATCACCGTCGTGGCTGTTATCATCACGAGAGCCGCCTCCACTCGAGGCCCTTCCGGCAGCAGTGGCGTGAGCCGGCAACAGCAGGGGCTGCGCCTTTGCCTCCACCAAGTTGCCCGCGCCAAATGAACTCGAGTTCGCCTCTGGGACAAATGAACTCGGCCGACAGCCACAAGCCGACAGCCACAAGCCGGGTTCCGCCTCCGGTTTGTCTGCGTCCCCCGCGGGGCAGGACCCTGGCGTGGCCGGATGACGCTCGCACGCGAGCCGGGCTGCTGCTGTTGCTGCTGCTGCTGCTGAGAGCTGCTGCTGCTGAGTGCTGCTGCTGCTGAGAGCTGCTGCTGCTGCTGCAGCTGGTGCTGCTGAGTGCTGCTGTTGCTGCTGCTGCTCCTGCTGCTGCTGCTGCTGCGGCTGCTGCTGCTACTGCTGCTGTTGCTGCTGCTGCTGCTACTGCTGCTGCTGCTGAGAGCTGCTGCTGCTGCTGCAGCTGGTGCTGCTGAGTGCTGCTGTTGCTGCTGCTGCTCCTGCTGCTGCTGCGGCTGCGGCTGCTGCTGCTACTGCTGCTGTTGCTGCTGCTGCTGCTGCTACTGCTGCTGCTGAGTGCTGGTGATGCTGAGTGCTGCTGCTGCTACTGAGAGCTGGTGCAGCAGTGGCGCCGTTCACTGCGTCTCGTGAAGTCTTCTCGCGCGGAGTGGGGGTCGTGTTTCTCTAAGCCACGGGAGGGTAACAGGTCGAGAGCAAGGGGAGAGCATTCCGTACTCCACGCGCCAAGAGCGGCAGTCGTCGTTGGAGTTCGTAGGTTCTCGCCCGGCTCCGCAGAGCGTTGTTGAGTCTTTGCTTTGTGCGATGTTGTGCCGGTGACGATTATCTGAACCGGTTCTGGGCCTCCCCTAGGTCAACTCGGCCTCAAATGAGTACCTGGTGCGGTGTGTAAATATCACCACTGGGGAAGCAAAGGCGGCCGGGCGTGGTGCTGGCCACCCACCCCCTCGTGTGCCGTTATGGCCTTCGTAGGTGCTTGCTAACAGCACCTACCCCAGCGGTCCATTGAAGGCTATCCGGGGGATCTTTGTCTTTGTGTCTGTCGACGCAGGTGAGCGGCGTGGGCTACTTCACCCGCGGGGAGGTGACGATCGACGGGCAGGCGCAGACCGCGTCGTCAAACGCGACGCTGACTAAGCTGTGCGAGGTTCGTGTTGCCGGATGAGAAAAAAAAAACCACCCCACCCCTCTCTCTCTCTCTCGCGCGCGCTTCTTTTACCGCATCGCACCGGTTGTGTGCAGGTGATGTCACAGTCGAATGTCGGCGACTCGTTGATTTTACCGTTGACGGAACGACGTTGGACGCCGCGCATCTGCCGTGCTGCGTCCGAGCACGGTTCAGTGTGGTCCACGGCCTTCCGTCGTCCGGATACTCGCCCCTATTATCTGGTTTGACGTTTCGGTGAATTGATTTTCCAATCGAACAGCGACTCTTCGACTTACGAACGAGTTAGGGTTCCAGAGGTCTGTTCGTAAGTCGAATTGTTCGTAAGTCGAATTGTTCGTAAGTCGAATTTGTTCGTAAGTCCAACCCGTGCAGTAAAACATCGCCACCGGGGAGATGAAGGTGGTCGGCCTTCGCGCCGTCCACGCACCCCCCCCCCCCCGCCAACTCGTGTGTCACCGTGCGGCCGTCGTAGGCACTGGCCGCGACGTCTTGTGAAGGCGACACATTGGGGTGGGGCGGTGGTGGAGGATCTTTGCGGAGAGTCGGGCTCCAGGCCAACGGGCTCCAGGCCAGACGTCGTAACCGAGGCCGGCGGAGCGAGAGGGGCCGCCCCGCCGTTTGTTCGCCTCGCCGCCGCTTTTGCCCGCCGGGCGACGAGTGGCGACGCGGTGCCCAGGCACGCCGAGCGGAGGACGCAGCGTCCGCTGGCACTCCCAAAGCCGCCAGCGAGTTCCACGTCCCAGCGTAGCCAGGGCCCATCTTGGCCCATTAGTCTCGTGACTCAGTGGGTAAATGTGTGTGTGCGCGTGAACTTCGTTCGCACCGTACGTGGCCAAGCGTGCGCATCGGAGGGCATTAGCGTGTTTATTATGAGACAAAAATAGCGACACACTGGCCAACTCCCACCCCGCGTGTGCCGTGTCAGCCTGAATGTCCTGTTAGCACGCTAACAGGACTTGTCCCAGCAGGCTGTGTGTGGGATCTTTGTCTGTGTTGTAGAGGGAGATGACAGGGGGAGAGGTGGGAGAGTGCGTGGAGGGGAGTGAAGTGGTGGAGAGTTCGTCAGGCACGAATCCATGGAGGATCTTCGGATTGGCGAGTGCCACATTGATTTTTGGTTCAGGATTGCACTTAAACAGACGCGTTTTCGTATGTAACTCTGCGTGTGTGCACGTTTGTGTGCGAATGCGCGTCTGCGTGCATCTGCGTTTGCGTGCATCTGCGCGCGTGCGTCTGCGTGTGTGTGCTTCTGTGCGTGTGCTTCTGTGCGTGCGTCTGCGTGTGTGTGCTTCTGTGCGTGCGTGTGCTTCTGTGCGTGCGTCTGCGTGTGTGTGCTTCTGTGCGTGCGTCTGCGTGTGTGTGCTTCTGTGCGTGCGTGTGCTTCTGTGCGTGCATCTGCGTGTGTGTGCTTCTGTGCGTGCGTGCGTCTGTGTGCGTGTATGCGTTTGCGTGCGCAGGTCGCGTGCGTGTGCAACGACGCCGTCTTGAGAGACGGGGTGCTCCTGGGCGCGCCCACAGGAGGGGGCGTTACTGAACCTGGCAGCCAAGGTAAGATATTGCTTCTGAAACCGGCGGCGGTGGCGGTGGCTTTTTTCTCTCTCCCCCTCAACTTTTTTTTTCTGACTGCCAATTCGCGTAACGAGATGAAGATTCCGGCCGTGACCTCTCCCAGAGGTGCCGCGACCCCATTCGTGCGTTCACGGAAGCAGATTTCGCAGAGCAGCCTCCTTGAGTCGGCCCGCGCGCGTTGGGCCAGACGTTAGCTACCTCGCCTGGTATGCAGCATGTCGTGGGTAGATCCCGACCCTAACGCCTGTATGCAGTAGAACCCCCTCGTAACGACGGCGTTTGGTTCCACGAAACCGGTCGTTGAGTGATTTGGTCATCGAGCGAGCGTAGGAGATGCAAGTTCAAGGCTTAATTCGTTCCGATGGCATCGAAAGTTAACCTTTTTCACCCAAACAACGTACTTGATGACATTTAAACAATGGATATTAATACGTGAAGACACTAACAACATTATACACACATAGCTTGGAGGAATTCGATGAGCTATAAAGCTCTTTTTGACAGATGTCCAGTCGGGGCACCGTGTCAGAACGTGACACCAATAAACAATACAAAACACGGAAGCAGTGCAAAGTGTAGGAAAGGAAAATCATATTCTTAGGTTTTTTTAGGTTTTTTTCGGTGAAGTCACGTAGGTAAAAAATTAAAATTAAAATTAATAAAAGTAAAATAAATTAAAAATAAAAAAACCAGTATATATAAACCAGTATATATACGGGGTAGTATTTCTTGGAATCTCTCATTTACTTGATACAGCAATCGTGCTGTGGCGGTTCAACCTGAAGACGGAAGCTTGTGTTGCCTCCGAAACGTCGTGATTTTTATTTTAATTTTATTTTACTTTTATTAATTTTTTACCTACGTGACTTTACCCAAATAACCTAAGAATATGAATCCTTGCAGTCACGAAAGCTTCAAATCTAGAATTAAGTGAACAAATCACTTTAAAAAAGTATACAGAAAACACTTAACAATTTTATTTTATATTACCAGGTAAAGCCCGCTGAGCTATTAGCCTCTGTTTTCAGAAGTGATCTGGCCACAATCCACACCTCCAATTAGCACGGTTGGCTACGTACGGTGCGAAAGAAGTTCAACGTGCACGCGTGCAAGTGACAAAGTGACAGCACACGTGGAAATTCATTGCGTCAAAATGATCACAAACAATCTCGATGCATGTAACCCAGGTCGCACTCTTACCAAAAGGGGGGTGGGGGTGAGCGGGGGGCAGAGCTGGCCCAGCCACTAAGCGACCCTTGCAATTGCAAAGGGCCCCGTGGCCAGCAGAGGGCCCCCTAGAGTCACTGCTAGCTAGTGGGTGAAAAAAATCATACATCAAAGGGGCCTCCAACCAAATTTTGCTTAGGGCCCCCAAAGGTCTAGGGCCGGTTCTGGCGGGGGGGATCAATGACGATGTTTCACGCATCTCGACGGTTTTATATAATTTCCGGGGGCCGATTATAAAACCAAACGACCGCTCCGACCGATACCCCGTGACGGTTCCCCGTGCATCTGTTCCCCCGCAGCTCGGCGTCGGAGGCGTGAGAGATGAACACGAGCGCATCGAGGAGGTCCCGTTCAGCTCCGAGCGCGGGTGGATGGCCGTGCGCTGCATGTCCACCACACAGAGGGTGAGGCGATGTGGCGGCGTCGTCGTCGAAGTCGTCGTCGTCGTCATCGTCATCATCTGCATCCTCATCGTCGTCGAAGTCGTCGTCGTTGTTATAGTCATCGTCATCGTCGTTATCGTCATCATTGTCGTCATTGTCATCATTGTAATCATCGTCATCTGCATCATCATTGTTGTCGTTGTCATCATTGTTATCGTCGTCATCATTGTCGTCATTGTCATCATCGTCATCATCGTCGGCCGCATCCTCATTGTCGTCGTCGTCATCGTCGTCATCGTCGTCATTGTCGTCATCGTCATCATCGTCGGCCGCATCCTCATTGTCATCATCGTCATCACCACCGTCCTCATCGTTGTCATCATCATCATCATCCGTCATCATCTGTCACAATCAATCTACTGCTGGACAAAGGCCCTAACCCGAAACGTCGCCATATCTCATCACGATCCCGCGATGCAGTAATCCACACGGCAGCTGCACATTGCACTGATTTTGTCGCTTCAGCTCCCTGGTGGCAGCACTCGAGGAGACGTTTCCCTCCTTTGTCTGCCACTCTGTTTTCATCCTTGACCATCAGCCACCATCTACTATTTAGTTAATCAAACGGATACACTGGGGCACCTGTCGCTGAACTGACCCGCTGTTCAGAGGACGTGCTTTGAGTGACATTGCAAGCTGTGGACGGGCTACAATGCCCCTTCGTGTAAATACCGGGATTGTTGTTGTTGTTCTTCTTCTTGGTTCTTTCGGTAAAGTCACGTAGAATGGAAATAATAAAATAATACAAATAAAACATAATAAAATAATTATCACGACATTCAGACTCTGTCTTCTCGACAGACCTGTTCTTCACCTGAGGACGGCTGCTTGCGTTGTGGCCGAAACGTCGTGAGAATTATTTTATTATGTTTTATTTTTATTATTTTATTATTTTCATTCCACGTGACTTTACCGAAAAAACCAAGAAGATGAATCCCTGCAGTCACGAAAGCTTTAAATCGAAATGTTGTTGTTGTTGTTGAGAGCACGGACATACGCCGCTCTCTCTCTCTCTGTGCTGCAGGCTCCGCGCGGAGCGTTCTTCGTGAAGGGAGCGTGTGAGCGCGTGCTGGAGCAGTGCCGCTCCTACAGCAGCCACGGGCTCGCGGTGGCACTGACGCCGCAGGTGTGCGAGAGCTTCCACCGGCAGAGGATCGCCCTTGGCAGCCAGGGCCTCCGAGGTGACGGCGGCACGTACGCGCACACACACGCACTCACGCACACGCACGGGCATGCACACACGGACACGCACACACGGGCACGCACACACGGGCATGCACACGCACGCGTACGAACATGCACACTCGCACACACACGCAAGCACACACGCGCACTCACACACACGCACTCACGCACACGCACGGGCACGCACACACGGGCACGCCCACACGGGCATGCACACGCACGCGTACGAACATGCACACTCGCACACACACGCAAGCACACACGCGCACACACACGGGCATGCACGCGCACACACGTGCACTCACGCACACACGGGTACGCGCGAGCACACATGCACGCACACACGAACATGCACACTCGCACACACATGCAAGCACACACGCGCGCATGCACGCACGTACACACACACATGCATACACATGCATGTGCACCCGAGTTCGAATCCCGCTCACGGTCAACACCGATGACGGTTATCTGAACCGGGCCTGTGCATCCCCTAGGTCGACTCAGCCTCAAATGAGCACCTGGTGCGATGTGTAAAACATCGCCACTGAGGAGACAAAGGTGGGCGGGCAAGGCACTGGCCATCCACCCCCTCGTGCGCCATACAGGCGCTACTTCATAATCAACGTTTTTTAGGTTTAGATCGCGTTATTTATAAATGTGTCGTAACTCTCCACCACCCGACACGGCCAATCAGTAAAAAAAATGTCCCGTTGACAAAAGACAAATAGTTCACTGCTTTAGCCCCACCGGTGTGTTTGAAGAGTGAAACCACGACATTTACAATTTTTGAGTACGACGTTTCTCTGGTAATTGCATCCAGCATCATCGGGCAATTCGCCAGAATGGTGAGGCTCAGCTCTGTCTCCAACACAAGGCGCTACTTGCCAGCGGCACCAACAGTCTGTTGAGGCTACACGGGGCACCTTTGTCTTTGTGCGCAGTGCTGGCACTCGCGAGCGGGCAGGAGCTGGGCCGCCTTACCTTCCTGGGCCTCGTCGGGATGATGGACCCCCCACGGCCCACGGTCCCCGACGCCGTCGCCACCCTCCAGCGCTCCGGGGTGACCGTCGTCATGGTCACCGGCGACGCCATGGAAACCGCTGTTGCCATCGGTAACCGCGGGCCGGCTGGACGTGAACGCATCGGCTCTGTAACGGGGATCGCGATGGCACCCGCAGAGTTCGTTGAACGTGAACAAAACTTGAGTGCGAAGTTCCGTTCGCTATTCGGGACTAACCCTGTTGAAAATCGGCCAAATTGATCAAAGTGGTTGCCCAGAACTTTGGGGGGGGGGGGGGGGTGGTGGAACAAAAAAAAAACAAAGCAAAAAGGACTCACCTCGGTGCAGAAGTCGCAACCGGGTACCCGATACCCGTACCCTACCCGATACCCGGCTACCCGTACCCAGCCGGGTACGGGTACGGGTAGCTGTTTGCGACCCTGGTGCGGCCGGGTACGGGTAGGCCGTGAGTCACTGGTGAGTAACCGTTTGTCACTCATTTCGGGTAGGGTACGGGTACGGGTAGGGAACGGGTACCCATTTGCGACCCTGGTGCGGCCGGGTACGGGTACGGGTAAGGAATCAAAACCTATTTGCGACCTCTGCCTCGGTGTCAAAGCCCTGCTGTGATCCCAGCCCCGTGGGACAGACTGCTCCATGCGTGCCTGGTACGAGCGCGACTCTTGTCGTCATTGTCACCATGAACTACTTCCGACCCTCGATGGGGAGCATTCGACCTTATCTTCATCGTCCACCTAAACGACACCATTTTTTATTCTTCTTGGTTTTTTCGGTAAAGTCACGTAGAATGGAAATAATAAAATAATAAAAATTAAACATAATAAAATAATTCTCACGACGTTTCGGCCACAACGCAAGTAGCCGTCCTCAGGTGGAGAACAGGTCTATCGAGGAGACAGAGTCTGAATGACAAGCCCCAGGCTTGGAGCGACTATTTAAGCTGGGATGGAGGGGCAAAGAGCGCCTTGACAAAATAATTTGCATATCAAGAGGAATTTAGCATATTTATGGGAAATGCAGATATGCGATTAGTACTACTTGTGAAATGCGTAGGAGGTTTGGCGAGGGGTTTAAAGTCATTATGCCCGTGCATTATGCAGGATTAGCAGCATCAAAGGGAGGGGATAGGGGTAGCATTAAGACACCCTTTTTCATTGGCGGACTCTCGCGACGGCAACCGTTCGGTAACCGCCGGTCCCTGCCTGGTGTACGCATGCGTGCGAAGGGAGGTCGATAGGCTTGTACGGCGAGGGCAATCGCAAGATGTCCGGGGAGGACATAGACAACATGGAGCTCCCGGAGCTGGCGGCTGCCGTCGAGAAGGTGGGTCGCGCCCTTCCCGGCACCGTCGCTCTCTCTCTCGCGCGCGCGGGGACACGCGGTCGGCTCGCTCGATCGACGGCCGAGGGGGGGGGGGGGGGGGGCGGGGGGCTGAAGCTTGCACCAGTTAACGATTGGGATAGAGTCAAGAGCCTCGTTTTTAATAATAATTCATATTTAGAATGCGCATTTTATCCCACGATTTCAATGCAGAATGCACGGAACGCAGGAAACCGACCAAACTAAAGAGGGAAGGACACTTTTAAGAGATGGGTGTTCAAAGCGGATTTGAATATAGCTACCGACTCCGATTGCCTGATGTCGAGCGGCAAGGCGTTCCATAGCTTGGGTGTCACGCTAACAAGAGCCCGATCGCCAAGAGAGCGCAACCTCGACCTGGGAGTATTGAGCAGTTGGAGATCAGAAGGTCTTATGGACCTTGATGGAGCAAGCGAAGGAGCAACGTGGCAGTCGTGAACCGGGTTGACATTCGTCAGGGATCATCGGTACAACGCTGCCCAGGTGCCAGGGTCTCCGTGTTTGCACGATGGGGTTGCGTTCACGATGCTGATCGTAACGATTAGTTTTATTCTCATGTAAGCAGCGAATTAAGTTGCACAAGCACTACGAACGATTGGAAACTTTTTTTTTACTTTATCAGATAAGGCCCATTGAGCTAAACAGCTCATTTTCAGAAGCGACCTGGCCACAAATGATAGCTCAACGAAGTGACTTATCTTGCGGGCATTTGTTGCAGTCAAATTATCTGAGCGCGTGATGTCGATTCTAAATGTGGAAGGGAAAAACCGTAGGACCCAGGAGAAAAATCCACGCGACCACGGGGAGAGAGGCACGCACACTCCAAATATACAGGCATCATCAGGGTTGGGGTCGAACCCACGACCTCTTGCATACTAGGCGAGGGAGTTAACATCTCTCCCCGGGGAAAAATCCACACGACCACGAGTAGAGAGAACACACAAACTTAATTTCTACAGGCATCGTTGGGGTCGGGATCGAACCCTCGACCTCCTGCATACCAGGCGAGGGAGTTAACATCTCACCACCGCGGTGCCCCTCACGTTGCTTAAATAGGGGTGGTGAACTATGACCTCAACTTGAAACTTCCCAAGGAGGTCGGCGGTCCAGAACTTTCTTGCATTTGAAATCGGCTCTTTCACGAATGGCAGAGATTCTGAATTCTGCTGGGAACCCGTGAGTTCACGGAAGCCACGACTCGGAATCTAACTCTTTCCGCTCGCAGGTCACGATCTTCTACCGCACGAGCCCTCGTCACAAGCTCAAGATCGTGAAGGTGAGTTGAGTTTGCTCCGTGCTCCTGGGAACGTCGATTCACACTGACGCATTTGGCCCATGGCATGATTGGATTTTTTCCTCAATTTTTCTTTCAAACCAAGTAAAGTCCGTCCACTGAGCTGTGAGTTCTTTGTCAGAGGCGACCTGGCCACACGCGATTGGTCATCGGCGTGGCTTATATTATCGTTGTCATCGCCACATGTAAGACAGACAGCCGCGTGCGAGGCCACCACCGCCCGACTATCTGCACATACAGATCTGGGGTACAGCAGGCGCATAATGCCAGTCATTTCAGTCAGCCAACCCATGGCACCGGGGTCTGTCCCGTGAACCTCCTCTCAGCGAGCTCTTCGACACATCACGTGGCCCAAAAGTGCACCTGGCCTGATACAGGCGCCGTGGTGACGTCACCGTCACTTAGTAGGCAAACGGTGGGTATTGGCATTGCAGCGCACACGTGTCCCACAGGAGCGGCAGCGTGGCGGCCCGCCGCGCCGCGCTACGAACCCGGCGACCCCGGGGTTCGATTCCCGCTCACGGCCGCAAAAACACCGGCGGCGACGATTATATCTGAACCGGTCCTGGGGCCTCCCTCCCCTAGGCCCTGCTCGCTCGCGGCACTTGCCCCCGCAGTCCGTTAACGGTCACGTGGTGGCGGGTCTTGGCGTTCCGCAGGCATTCCAGCTGAGGGGCGCCGTGGTGGGCATGACGGGCGACGGCGTGAACGACGCGGTGGCGCTGCGCGCGGCCGAGATCGGCGTCGCCATGGGCCTCTCGGGCACCGACGTGTGCAAGGAGGCGGCCGACATGATCCTCCTGGATGACGACTTCAGCACCATCCTGTGAGACACAGCTACCCCCCGCCCCGGCTCCCCCCGCCCACCAACCCTTACCACCCCCACCACCACCAACCACATCGTTATAGCGAGCAAACGCGCCCCCCCCGGCTCCCCCCCCCTCCTGCCCACCAACTCCTACCACCCCCACCACCACCAACCACATCGTTATATTTCGATTTAAAGCTTTCGTGACTGCAGGGATTCATCTTCTTGGTTCTTTCGGTAAAGTCACGTAGAATTGAAATAATAAAATAATAAAAATAAAACATTAAATAATTCTCACGACGTTTCGGCCACAGACCTGTTCCCCACCTGAGTACGGCTGCTTGCGTTGTGGCCAAAACGTCGTGAGAATGATTTTATTATGTTTAATTTTTATTATTTTATTATTTAAATTCTACGTGACTTTACCGAAAGAACAAAGAAGTCACATCGTTATAGCAAGCAAACGCGCCCCCCCCCCACCAACTCCCACCCCCGCTATTATCGCCATAATACATCGATCACCATCATCGCCGCTCACAAGCAGCGATCTCCATCGCCGCCATCATCGTCACCGCTCACAAACGACGATCGTCTTCTGGAAGAGACGATTCTGACCAGTGGGTGGTGGTGGTGTCTTTTGTCCTTTGGGTGGAGGCCATACATTGCTGCGGAGACACCGTTCTTCTGAAAGAGATGAATCTGAACAAACTGGATTCAAAACACTCCTTCGAGAAGACACGGCGCATTCACAACTTTTGAAATCCACGGAGTGTGTCGTGGTCTGTAGAATACGGTTAAAACTTCATCGCGATTTCTGTAACAAACCTCGTTTTTGTCCTCCTCAGGTCCGCGATTGAGGAAGGCAAGGGGATTTTTCACAACATCCGCAACTTTGTGAAGTTTCAGCTCAGCACGTGAGTGCCAGCGAAAATTCCATGTTACTATGGCGGGGACCAGCTTACCTACAGGACGGCTACTGATTGACTCATTGATTCATTAATGTAGTGACGGATTTATTGAATGACTGAATGAATTATTTGATGACTGATTGACACGGTAATTAATTGACTTAATTACTCTATCAACTGCCCACCTGACTCACTCACGTACTGATCAATAATTATTGATAACATCAATGACCCATTGACACTACTGACTGAGATATTGATTCAAAGAATGACACATTACATTCAAAGATGAAGGAATTCACTGATTGTTGATTAAATGAATACCAATACCCGCCATTCGCCGCTAAGTGACGGTGACGTCACCAAGGCGCCTGTGCCAGGCCAGGTGCACTTTGAGGCCACGTGATGTGTCGAAGGCTCCCTAGCAGGAGGTCACGGGACAGACCCAGGTGCCATTTCTTGGTTGACTGAGATGACTGGCAGATGCACCGGCTGTACCCCCTCTTGTGCCAACTTTGAATTCAACGAATAACCCATTCTACTCACCCACTCATTATTTCAACGATCCATTGCCTCACTCAACCACCAATTGATTATTGATGATTATCCAATCACTCGCCAACTAGTCGTTGATTAATTGAGCGACCCACTGACTCACGTGCCCTCTGATTATTGCTTAGTTTAATGACCGGTTGACTCGGTCACTCCCTCACCCACATGATTGATTACGGACGAAGTGAATGACCTCGATGAACGACTCACAGACTCACTCTTCTCCCTCCGTCGCTGTCTCGCCGGCAGGAGCATGGCTGCCCTGAGTCTGATCGCCATCACGACGCTGCTCGACTATCCCAACCCACTCAACGCCATGCAGATCCTGTGGATCAACATCATCATGGACGGACCCCCCGCTCAGAGGTACGGATTCTGGGCCCTCACCTTCTTAGGGGTAGGGTAGATGGGGAGTCGTGGCAGACGGCCAGAGTCACGGGGCCATTGCGGTACGGGTGGTTTTTCCACTGGCTATTTGCCGAGCTGAGCCAGAACCAAGCCGGGCTGCGTATGTATGTTGTTGAACTTCTTTCGCACTGTACGTAGCCAACCGTGCTAATCGGAGGTGCTGGGGAAGGACAACAAACTAAACACAATACGCAGTTTTAAAGAAATTAGTTTTCAATCTCGGCTTGAAAGTGCATAGCTCTAGTGGCTTCCTACGATGTACAAATCTGGCTCGGGGCCCAGCAGGACCGGGCGGGGGGGGGGGATAATGACCCGTTGACTTGCGTGCGACATTAGCGGCGCGGCTTCTGCAGTGGAAAAACAGCCGGGAGCCTGCTGAGCCGAGCCGGGCCCGGCTTCCAGCGCGGCTTGGTTGTTGCGCAATGGAAAAGATGTAAAAGTGCACCTGTGTATGTACGTGTGTGCATGTGTGCGTGTGTCCGCTTGCGCACGTGCCGTACTGTGGGGAGAGGTAGTTGTCGCGGCTAGCGCGCTGCGCTACAAACCCGGCGAACCTGAGTTCGATTCCCGATCACGGCTAACGCCAGTGACGATTATTTGAACCGGTCCTGGGCCTCCCCTAGGTCGCCTCAAATGAGTACCTGGTGCAGTGTGTAAAAATCGCCACTTGAGAGACAAAGGCGGTCGGGCTTGGTACTGGCCATCCACCCTCTTCATAGGTGCTCGCTAACAGCACTTGCCCCAACAGTCTCTTCAGGCTATTTGAGGGATATTTGTCTTCGTGTGCGGTTATGCGCGTGCCGTACTGTGCGACTCGAGTTCGATTCCCACTCATCACCTATAACGGTGGTTGATATATATATATATGAGCCGGTCCTGGGGCCTCCCCTGGATCGACTCAGCCTCAAACAAGTACCTGGTGCGACGTGTTAACAAAGGCGGCCTGGGACAGTGCCGGTAACACCCACCCCCTTGTGTGCTTTCATAGGCGCTGCTACTCGCTAACAGCACTTGCCCCGACAGTGTGTTAAGGCTATACGGGGGGGGGGGGCATCTCTGTCTTTGTGCGCCACAGTCTGGGCGTGGAACCCGTGTGTGCCGACGTGGTGCGGCTGCCCCCGCGACGCCGAGGGGAGCGCATCATCACGCTCAGCCTCCTCTTCCGCACACTCATGTCGGCTGCCATCATCACCAGCGGGACCCTCTACGTCTTTTGGAAGGAGGTCAGCTGACGTGCGCGTGTGTCTGCGCGTGTGCGTGTGTGCGTGGGGAGCGGACAGTCATCTCGGTCAGTCAACCAATGGCACCTGGGCTCTGTCCCGTGACCCTCCTGCCAGCGGGCGCCGTGGTGACATCACAGTCATACTCTTAGTTCTTTCGGTAAAGTCACGTAGGTAAAAAATGAAATTTTAATTAATTAAAAATAAAAACAATAAAATCACGACGTTTCGGAGGCAACACAATCTTCAGGTGAAACTGTCACAGCAAAACATCCGTATCAAGTTTGCTGTGACAGTTTCACCTGAAGACGGAAGCTTGGGTTGCCTCCGAAACGTCGTGATTTTTTTATTAATTTTAATTTCATTTTTTACCTACGTGACTTTACCAAAAGAACTAAGAGTATGAATCCTTGCAGTCACGAAAGCTTCAAATCTAGACATCACAGTCACTTAGTGGCAAATGGCGGCTGTTGTTGCTGTTGGAGCGGTAGTGCAGCGGTTAGCGCGCTGAACTATGAACCTGGCGACCCGAGTTCGATTCCCGCTCACAGCCTACCAACACCAGTGACGATTTGCGGAACCGGTCCTGGGCATCCTCTAGGTCAATTCAGCCTCAAATGAATGCCTGTTGCATGCTACGTGTAAACATCGCCACTGGGGAGACAAAGGCAGCCGGGCGTGGTGTTGGCCACCCACCGCCTCATGTGCCGTACCAGTCTCACACAGGTGCTCACTAACAGCACTTACCCCAAAAGTCTGTTAAGGCTATACGGGGCATCTCCGTCTTTGTTATATTTCCAGCTGCCAATCTCACACCACTGCTCATTCTCTCGCTGTCTCTCTCGACCTCCCCGCACAGATGCAAGATGGTCACGTGACGTCCCGCGACACCACCATGACCTTCACGTGCTTCGTGTTTTTCGACATGTTCAACGCGCTGGGCTCCCGATCGCAGGCGAGTTTCCCCCCCCCCGCCTCCCGGCACCGCCGGACGCTCGGTGAAACATTGACGGCAACCGTTTCCCAGGCAACTGCCACCGGCGATGAAATTCTATCGTGGTCGGCTACGGGGACGGGGTCGGCAAGCTGCGGCTCTAGAGCTGCACACATCGGCTCTTCGAGGACCCGCTTCGTCACGTTACTTACGGGGAACCTCCGTCTCCTTTGCACCACGGTGCATTGCGGTACCCTGAAATGTAACGTTTTTGTTTTTTCTTCTTGGTTCTTTCGGTAAAGTCACGTGGAAGGGAAATAATAAAATAATAAAAATAAAACATAATAAAATCATTTTCACGACGTTTCGGCCACAACGCAAGCAGCCATCCTCAGGTGAAGAACAGGTCTGTCGGAAAGACGCTGTCTTGTTCTTCACCTAAGGACGGCTGCTTGCGTTGTGGCCGAAACGTCGTGAGAATTATTTTATTGTTTTATTTTTATTATTTTATTATTTCCCTTCTACGTGACTTTACCGAAATAACCAAGAAGATGAATCCCTGCAGTCACGAAAGCTTTAAATCGGAAGTTTTTGTTCACCAAATTCGAAGAAAAAAAATGGTTCTTCTTGTTATTTCGTTGCCGACCCCAGAGCTGCGGCAACTGGGTAGGGCAGTGGCATAGATCCGGATTGGCTGAGGATGACCCACGACTTCATACGGCCACCAATTCATTTGACGTGACCGGCTGCCCCCATGAGGCCTACTGCTTGAACAAAAATGGCCGACAAACCCCGTCTGTGACTTCAAGCACTAATCTCCGATTAGCAAGGTTAGCTCCGTACGGTGCGAAAGAAGTTCAACATACATACGTACTAAATGAAGGAAGATCCCCATATAACCTGTAACAGACTGTAGGAGCAAGTGCTGTTAGCGAGCACCTATGAAGGCCGGAACGGTACACGAAGTGGTGGGTGGCCAGCACCACGCCCGACTGCCTTTGTCTCCCCAGTCTCGATATTTACACACTGCATCAGGTACTCATTTGAGGCTGAGTCGACCTAGGAGAGGCCTAGGACCGATTCAAATATTCGTCACCGGTGTTGGCCGTGAGCGGGAATTGAACCCGGGCCGCTACACTGCAGCTGCCCACACACACACTCTCCACACACACTCTCCACACACACTCTCCACACACACTCTCCACACACACACTCACACACACACACTCTCCACACACACACACTCTCGACACACACACGAACACGCGTGCGTGTGCTCGTGCGCTTGACTCCTGCAGACCAAGACGGTGTTCGAGATCGGGTTTCTGACCAACAAATTCTTCCTGGTGTCGGTGCTGGGCTCGCTGCTGGGACAGCTGGCTGTCATCTACCTCCTGCCCTTGCAGAAAATCTTCCAGACCACGTACCTGTCACCCCTCGGTGAGTCCCACGCCCATCCACTTCCTGTGCATCTTCTTATCTTATCATCTTAAAGGAATTGAATAGATCGCCGACTTCTCCACGGCGCTTTGCAAGGAATTGACAGTGTCTTCTTGGTTCTTTCGGTAAAGTCACGTAGAAGGGAAGTAATAAAACAATAAAAATAAATCATAATAAAATAATTCTCACGACGTTTCGGCTACAACGCAAGCAGTAGACGGCTGCTTGCGTTGTGGCCGAAACGTCGTGAGAATTATTCTATTATGATTTTTTAAATTATTTTATTACTTCCCTTCTACGTGACTTTACCGAAAGAACCAAGAAGATGAATCCCTGCCGTCACGAAAGCTTTAAATCGAGAATTGACAGTGGTGCACGTGAATGAGTAGTGGTGGAGATGAGGCGAATGAAATAGATGAGAGGAAGGAATGGGGGGCAAATCTGTGATGCGTGAATTTGGTGGAAGCGAAATTGACGTCGGTAAATGGTGATGAATGGATTCAATGAATGGGGAATGAGTGATAGCCTTATAATTAGATGATGAAGAGGGAAAAGTAGCGGTGGCAGGTTATGAGGGAGAGATTAAGGGATCGTCAGGTGAGCTTGGGAAAATAAGTGAGTTTTGAGTACAGAGCGGAAACTAGTGAGCGAAGGTGACCCCAAATCCCTTCTCCCCAATTCTAGATTTGAAGTGAATCTCTCACTTGATACAGCTATCGTGCTGTGACGGTCCCACCTGAAGACGGAGGCTTGTGTTGCCTCCGAAACGTCGTGATTTTTACTTTATTTTTTATTTAACTTTTATTCATTTAATTTTTTACCTACGTGACTTTACCGAAAAAAACCTAAGAATATGAATCCCTTCTCCCCGCAAACAAAAAATAAATCCGCAGACCTCCTGTTCCTCGTGGGAATCTGCTCGTCGGTGTGGATCGCCAACGAGCTGGAGAAGAAGATGGAGTGCTTCGTCAGGGATCGCTGGTGCTGCAAGCGAAAGGGGGCGGCCAGCGGTGTCAAGGACGACGACGATGACTCTGCTGCTGCTGCTGCCGCTGCGGCCGCTGCTGCTGCTGATGCCAGAGGGAGCTCGAACGGCTCTCCTGCTTCAAACGCAGCGGGGAGCAAAGTGCACATCGCCGTTCCGATACTGTCAGCTTGAGCCGGGGCTCACTCAGCGTGCGGTTCTCAGGAATTTGCGTGCGACGTGAAGGCCGTGCCGCCGTGACCACTCGCACGTGCCCGTTTCTCTTCCTTCTTTTTGCCGCATCCTGCAAGATGCTGCGTAGGTGACGTCAGACCTTCAAGGACCTTACGGTCTTATCGCTGCCATTTGTGTCGGTTTTTTTCAACGGTTTTACCCTATCTTGACTCCTATGTTTGTCGTGGTCAAATCTTGTCATCGAAATTTAGTCGCCTTCCTGTTGTCCAATCAATTCCAAATTTTGCACACGTACTCAGATCAGGGTGACGATGCATGCCCGCATCAATGAATTCGCTACTTTAAAGCAATTGACATTTTGTATGGAGGCCTTATTATTTATATAGATATTTATGTAGGTGAAAAACGCTGCGGTCCCTAAACGCTGGAATCGCCTCGCCCAAGATGCAGGCGCCACGTGTCTCAGGCGCGCCTGCTCCGCGTGAACGAGTTACAGAAGTAATTGATTCAAGTAAAAGCGTTGATGTGGGAGCAGGCGCCGTATCATTGACGTACTTCTCGACCGTGAGTTAAACGAAGTTGTTCATGAAACCGTTGTTTAAAAAAAAAAAAACTTTTTTTAAAGGAGTTTATTAATTGTTCAAAAGTCATGGTCCTCCGAGGATTGCACTTAAAGACTCATGATCATATCTTCACCACCGCCACCACAATCTGGCTTGAGGTCTTCCCATTGTTACACGGTCGACATGTCCTTGAGGGACCTCTAAGCCTTCCCCTTGATCGCCAGCCACTGAGCGCCGCCCCACTGCCGATCTTGTTCACCTGCCCCTCTCATCCCTCCCCCTCCACCCCTCCCTCTCCTCCACACCCCGAAAACACGGGCCGACGTTGGCGTGTGCCATGGACGCGTCGCCAGGACCCGTCATGTTTCCGTGCCGAGCAAAGCGGAGATTTCGGAAGCTGTGATGGCGCCGTGCTCCATCGAGCCATTCGGATTCCATCGTGGGAGCTGAACTGGCAACACCTCGCCACAGCACCTCCGTTGCTTTTCCCCCTCCGCTTTTCCCGACCATCGACGCTCTCTCCAGGCGTGTTCCCGTCACACCCCGAGCTACTTGTCCAAACTACCGTTGTTTCTGTCCATCTCTTGCGCTGAGCCGTCGGTCGATCTTGCTCTACAGGTGATATCCAAGAGTCGTATTCGAGGTAGCAGCACCCTCCTGAAAAGGAGAGTTCATGAGAATCGGTGAGGAATTTCCTGGGTAAACAAAGGAGACATCGATCGGTTGGATGGCATACGGACTTCAGACATTTTTTTGGCCCATGGGAGACCTGGACGAATAGAAGAAGCCTACAGGTGCATTGTCACGATCATCATCGGCCACGGTCCGTCCACTGCTGTGGGTTGGAGGATTCCCCAAGCCGTCGCCATTTCTCACAGCGGTCTCATGAATCAGCAATCCACATCGTTCCCTACTTTGGCTGCCACTCCATCCTTGGTCTTGACCACTGGCCTGCCCCGCCGTACCTTCAGGCGTCGGGTCCTGCCCAAGTCCACTCACTCGCTCGCTCTCTCCGTGTTTGTTTACAGTTGATGTGGTGTCTCCCGACTTGTGCGTTCTTCAAGACACGTGTTGCTCTTACCGTCTCTCGCTGTAATTCCCAGCATGCACTTCTCAACGCATCTCTGTGCACTTTTCAGATTTGGTTCCGGTTAATTTTTTGTCGGGGATGCAAATGTGCAAAGGGGGAAAAAAAGAACATTAATGTGGGAGGAAAAAAATATTAAAATGATAAAATCTACAAATATATAATATATTCACTTGATTACAAAAAAAGGTGTATTATTTAAGAGCAGTGGCTCAGGAGTGTGATCCAGTACTTGATAGGCAAGAGCTGGTGGATCATCTAGGGCTTTGTGAAGCTACCGATCCCACTGGGGCTGGGATTTGGCCAGGAGGTGGCTGTACGGTCAGTGGGTTTGTGAACCTCATTCGTTCGTATCTCGGCATGTTATTCCCTCATAAGGTTGGTGGGTATCCTCCGGGATCTTCTCTTTTTTCCTCCCACTCGATGCTAAGCACTCCTTAAAGCGGAATTGGCCAAACATCCAAATGTAGCAGGACCCTGCTGAAAAAGAGTCTTGCGATTCAGTGAGGCTTTTCTATGGTAAGTAAATGGCCTGTATTATTTAATGAGCACAAAAGTGTATTTTATGAAAGTAAAGATGAAAAAAATTGAATAGTTCTTCTTCATACAAAGGAGGTTGATTAAAATGTTTTTTTTATTATAGTCCATTGGTCAACTACTGCTGGATTAAAGCCTCCCCATCCCGTTGGTCATGGCGGTTGTTTGACCATACTTCACCACGCTGGTCAGTGTGGGATGGCGAAGGTGGTAGTGGCACTGGATCCGTTCTGATTTGACGTGGTACTGAAATTAGCCCTGGCCAGGAATCGAACTCAGGTGACCGGGTTCTTAGCACAGTGCACTAACTACTGCACTACCACCAGTCAAAGTGGCAAAAATGGTCAAATGTTTACATTTGTACAGCTTAAGTTAAGCAACGAAAACATTTTTGGACCAACATTTGCCGTGGCTTTTTGGAAGACTTTTTTAAAATCGCTGTTCAATGAATGGAATGTGTGACTTGAAATAGAAATTCTGGGAATGAAGGGACAGATATTTTGCTATGTTAAACCGTGCCAATGTTTACACGCTCGCATAAAAAAATAAAGGTGTCAAAGTCTTAACCCATTCACCGTCTCGGCAGTGTACTTATACTTAATTGTTGACACTTATTTAACTTGCTCTATTGTCTGTTGATATTCTTTCAAATATTTGACGCTTAATATATTCTGATCTACGAAGCATAACGAGCTTAAATGTTGTACACAGAAATCGCCTCGAGTGACAATTCGAGATTTCATTTAAAGAACCGGTCCATGTCCCGCCGATCCTGGGCCTCTGCGTGTTCTATACTTACATTTTAATTGCACAATTTCCAATATGTTAGAATTACCTTGACAATAATTAACTATTGTTATTGTCTGGATTGAGATGTTAGAATGAATACGTACATTCGTAAATTATTTTTACCTGACTAAAATGAAATTATACTCTCTGGTTCATTCGGTAAATTCGCGTCGGTATAAAATAAAAATAAATCACGACGTTTCGGGCGCAACACAAGCGTCGTGATTTCCCACCTGATGACGGACGCTTGTGTTGCGCCCGAAGCGTCGTGATTTATTTTATTTTCTACCCACATGACTTTACCGAAAGAACCAAAGAGTATGGATTCCTGCAGTCACGAAAGCTTCAAATCAAGATTAAAATGAAATTGTGTAAGAATTTGGTACAAAACTAGTTTTACAATCCACACACTTTTATTTGCACTCAAAAGTAGAAAAACCTCATTTTGACCCCTGAATTAATCAAATTTGACGTGCTGAATAAAAGTGGGTGGCTTGAATAAAGAAATTAAACATATCGAAAGGAAAACATCCACTTTAGGAGTGATTACAAACGAGTGTTAAGAATCCCGAAGCCATTCACGAACAGTTGGTAAGATGAACTAGTGACATGATTTCAGGTATGGAAGATTATCGACTGAGGAGATGGAGCGATGAAAACCACTCGCGTTCCGGTGGTTGGGTGGATTAAGTACATCGCAGGATCGTGTGAGGTGGCAGGTGTCGCTTGTTGGGGAGGACTTCATGCAGCTGTGGATTGATGATGGCTTAATGGGGAGGCTTTTCATGTAGCAGTGCATTGACGATGGCTGATGATGATTACTTAATGGGGAGGCACTTCATGCAGCAGTGGGTTGAGCATGGCTGATGATGATGACTTCATGGGAAAGGATTCAGGATCCTGTTGACATTTTTGGTAAATTTCCTAGGGACAAGATTAGGAAGATACATTCCCACTCAGTGGTAATTATTGTATAAATTAGTTTTTATTCTTCTTCTTGGTTCTTTCGGTAAAGAATCAGTCAGACTGTCTTCCCGACAGACCTGTTCTTCACCTGTGGACGGCTGCTTGCGTTGTGGCCGAAACGTCGTGAGAATTATTTGATTGTTTTATTTTTATTATTTTATTACTTCCCTTCTACGTGACTTTACCGAAAGAACCTAGAAGATGAATCCCTGCAGTCACGAAAGCTTTAAATCGAAATTTAGTTTGTATTGTTAAAGCTGAATTGTTTTGAAATTGGGTTCGTTGTTTTGGTTAACATTTTACGTTATGATGATGATGATATTGCTGCTGTTGATTCTGCTGCTGACGATGATAGAAAATTACGTTGCTGCTGATGATTATATTATTGCTGTTGATGATGATTACGAATTTAATTTTTAAGCTAATTGAACCAACGATGCCGCTAAATGAAGGCGACTCTAAAAGCATTTCACGCTCGCCTCAAAGTTCATAATCATCACGAGTGGAAAATAAAATTAAGCCGCTGTGTATTTTAACAAATTCACAGCAAAACACCTCCAGGGTATGAGGTGTGAGTTTAGCACCTGTAATTGGCACGGCCAACAGAGACTTCCAATTCGTTAGCCCCAGGGGCAATATTGGGGATTTGCTTGCGAGTATAAACATCGGTGAGACGAAGCCGTTGCCTCAGAGTAATTTGATGTTCTTCATCAGATGAGATGCACCAAAGTTTCGTTGAACTCTGAAGTTATAAAAAAAAAAAAACTCACGCCAAAATTAGAAGCCGTTGGATAATTTACGGTGAGTGACCAAATATATTTCGTCTTTTTTTTAATTTCATATATAAACATTTAACATATATGAATGGTAGTTTCAGAGGTGTGGACTCGAGTCATGTGACTTGGACTCGAGTCAGACTCGAGTCATGAATTTTATGACTTCAGACTCGACTTGGACTTGCATAACAATGACTTTGTCCCACCTCTGAGGTGTGGACTCGAGTCATGTGACTTGGACTCGAGTCAGACTCGAGTCATGAATTTGATGACTTCAGACTCGACTTGGACTTGCATAACAATGACTTTGTCCCACCTCTGAGGTGTGGACTCGAGTCATGTGACTTGGACTCGAGTCAGACTCGAGTCATGAATTTGATGACTTCAGACTCGACTTGGACTTGCATAACAATGACTTTGTCCCACCTCTGGGTAGTTTTACAGCTCTCTGACGCGTTCACGGATTGTGCCGCGTGATTCGTCGAGGCTGTCTAAAGCGAATGGAGTTCCTGCAGGAGTGGCGCGAAACGTCGGACAACGTGCCGATCAACCTACGCCGTAGAGTTCACGCTACGTCGCTCTCCACTCCACTGCTAGATGAAGTCATCCCGTACGCCGTCGTGAGCGAGATGGGGTTTATTTCACTGTAGCCATACTTCACCGCGCTGGTCAACTCTAATCGCCTCTGAATAATCATCATCATGATCTCTCTCTCTCTCTCTGAGAGAGTATGCAACCTCCTGGTATTACAGTTTAGACATTTGTATGGTTATTATTATTGTAATGACGATATATTTGGTTTCGATTTAAAGCTTTCGTGACTGCAGGGATTCATCTTCTTGGTTTTTTCGGTAAAGTCACGTAGAAGGGAAATAATAAAAGAATACAATTTTTTAACATAATAAAATACAATTCTCACGACGTTTCGGCCACAACACAAGCAGCCGTCCTTGTGTTGTGGCCGAAACGTCGTGAGAATTTTATTTTATTCTGTTTTTATTTTTATTATTTTATTCTGTTTTTATTTGTATTATTTTATTATTTCCCTTATACGTGACTTTACCGAAAGAACCAAGAAGATATATTTGGTTTTCGTTGCACGAGCCACAGGTGAGATATCCAACAGGTTGAGAGAATGGGCTGCTCGCAAACGCATTGTGTAGGTAATGATTCTTGAATAGTTAACCACGCACATGTTAGCTTGAAATAGGGTAAAGATGTACGAGTGGAATATCCATTTAAGAAATTTTGTTTTGTTTGTTTGTTATCACGTTCGCTGAGGACCCTGGCCCAAAGGCCAAGCGGCCAGTAACAGGCAGCACTATGAACGTCCCTGTGAACTGAGCGAGGTTATTGACGATCGGAGCCGAGTGTCAAGGACGCGGCGATTGGGAGGGGATTCCACAGTGGAGGCGAGTGGGTGGGTGAGTGGGTGAGTGAGTGGGTGAGTGAGTGGGTGGGTGGGTGGGTGAGTGGGTGAGTGGGTGGGTGGGTGAGTGGGTGAGTTGGTGAGTGAGTGGGTGAGTGGGTGAGTGAGTGGGTGAGTGGGTGAGTGAGTGAGTGGGTGAGTGGGTGGGTGGGTGGGTGAGTGGGTAGGTGGGTGGGTGAGTGGGTGGGAGAGTGGGTGAGTGAGTGGGTGGGTGAGTGGGTGAGTGTGTGAGTGAGTGGGTGGGTGGGTGAGTGGGTGGGTGGGTGGGTGAGTGGGTGGGTGGGTGGGTGAGTGAGTGGGTGAGTGAGTGAGTGAGTGAGTGGGTGGGTGAGTGAGTGGGTGGGTGAGTGAGTGGGTGAGTGGGTGGGTGAGTGGGTGAGTGGGTGGGTGGGTGGGTGAGTGAGTGGGTGGGTGAGTGAGTGGGTGAGTGAGTGAGTGAGTGGGTGGATGGGTGGGTGGGTGGGTGAGTGGGTGGGTGAGTGGGTGAGTGGGTGAGTGGGTGGGTTGGTGGGTGAGTGGGTGGGTGGGTGAGTGGGTGGGTGGGTGAGTGAGTGGGTAGGTGAGTGGGTGAGTGAGGGGGTGGGTGAGTGGGTGGGTAAGTGAGTGGGTTTAGTGAGTGGGTAGGTGGGTGAGTGGATGGGTGAGTGAGTGAGTGGGTGAGTGAGTGGGTGGGTGAGTGAGTGGGTGAGTGGGTGAGTGGGTGGGTGGGTGGGTGGGTGGGTGGGTGAGTGGGTGGGTGGGTGGGTGGGTGAGTGGGTGAGTGAGTGGGTGAGTGAGTGGGTGAGTGGGTGGGTGAGTGGGTGGGTGGGTGGGTGAGTGAGTGGGTGGGTGGGTGGGTGGGTGAGTGGGTGGGTGGGTGGGTGGGTGAGTGAGTGGGTGGGTGGGTGAGTGAGTGGGTAGGTGGGTGAGTGGATGGGTGAGTGGGTGAGTGAGTGGGTGAGTGGGTGAGTGGGTGGGTGGGTGGGTGAGTGGGTGAGTGAGTGGGTGAGTGAGTGGGTGAGTGGGTGGGTGAGTGGGTGGGTGGGTGGGTGAGTGAGTGGGTGGGTGGGTGGGTGAGTGGGTGGGTGGGTGAGTGGGTGGGTGGGTGAGTGAGTGAGTGGGTGGGTGGGTGAGTGAGTGGGTAGGTGGGTGAGTGGATAGGTGAGCGCCGCAGTAGCGAGACGTTAACTCCCTCGCCTGGTATGGAGGAGGTCGTGGGTTCGATCACGACCGTGATGCCTGCTGTATATTTGGAGTTTGTGTGTGTGTGTCTGTGGTCGCGTGAATTTTTCTCCAGGTTCTCTGGTTTTCCCTCCACATTTAGTATTAACATGCGATTCGAGTATTTCGCTGCTATACATTTCCAGATCATGATAAGCCACTTCATTGAGCAATAATTTGTGGCCAGGTCGCTTCTAAAAAAGAGTTACATAGCTCAGAGGGCCTTACTTGGTAAAATATAAATATTGCATCTTCTTGGTTTTTTCGGTAAAGTCACGTAGAATGGAAATAATAAAATAATAAAAATAAAACAATAAAATAATTCTCACGACGTTTCGGCCACAACGCAAGCAGCCGTCCTCAGGTGAAGAACATGTCTGTCAGAAAGACAGCGTCTGAATG